TAGAATTAGAGAATAGAATAGAATAGAATTAGAGAATAGAATAGAATTAGAGAATAAAATAGAATAGAATGAGAGAATAGAATAGAATAGAATTAGAGAATGGAATAGAATTAGAGAATAGAATTAGAGAATAGAATAGAATTAGAGAACAGAAGAGAATTAAATAATAGAAGAGAACAGAAGAGAAGAGTTGGAAGGGACCTTGGAGGTCTTCTAGTCCAACCCCCTGCTTAGGCAGGAAACCCTACACCACTTCAGAGAAATTGTTATCCAACATCTTTTTAAAAACTTCCAGTGTTGGAGCATCCACAACTTTTGGAGGCAAGTTGTTCCACTGATTAATTGCTCTGTCAGGAAATTTCTCCTTAGTTCTAAGTTGCTTCTCTCATTGATTAGTAATCAAGTTTCCTTGATTAGTAGTTGAATGCTTTAACACACTGTTCCAAACTACAGTCACATGGAATGAACTCTTATGATGCCTGGAGCTTTTTGCCTGGATGTGAAAAAAAAAAGAGTTGGTGCACTAATTTACAACCTGTTGTAAAACTTATCTAAGTGACTGCATCTTCTTTTTTTCTTCTTTTTCTCCCAGATGGTGGGACGTTAACAATGCTGTGGCTTGCTGTGACTGAAGGAGTTTGAGTTTAGTTCATCCTATATTGAAATAGGGGATTCCACCCCCCCCCCCTGGCTCCTGCTAGTAATACCAAAAGAACTTAAACTTATATATCATTTCATAGTGCTTTACACCCCTTTCTAAGCAGTTTACAAATGTCAGCATATTACCCCTGACAATCTGGGCCCTCATTTTACCGTCCTCGAAAGGATGGAAGGCTGAGTCAACTTTGACCCGGTCAGGATCGAACTGCTGGCAGTTGGCAGAGTTAGCCTGCAATACTGCATTCTAACCACTGCGCCACCAGGGCTCTGATAGGCAGGTGCTGGTCAATGGCTCTGATAGGCAGGTGCTGTTGCCATGATCAATGGGGATCTGGTTATCCTTTTTTGTCCTGTTGTCTGCTGCTTGGAAAAGTGTTCCCTCCCCTCCTAGTGTCTGGGCTCAGTGAAAACAGAACTTGATTTGTTTGGTACTAACTCAGATTGCATTCCTGCCCAGTTGATCATAGGGCTGTTCTATCCTATGTCCTTTGTTTTCAGCTCCTTTCAAGAGACTTATCAGATTTATCCAGCCTCCTAACCACAAATGTGATTTCGAGTCTGGTAAGGAGGAACACATTCCAGTACAAATTATATGTGGCACAAGCTTTTGTATTGCAAACATTTCCTGAGTGGATTATATAAACCACTCTTTTTTAAAAAAAAACCCAATGATGCTACTCACTTCTTGGTGGAAGGTGCTGGAGAAAACAGATTTGATCCACTCTGCTGTCGTGAAGACGTCGAAAGAGAGAAAGGCAAAGTGGACATCATGGCGCAACTCTGGATATTTTCAACGATTCTGCTTCTGCTGCTGAGTCTTTCGGTGGTGTACTTTCTAAAACAACTCCGGTTGCTCAGAAAATGTCCACCTGGACCTTTGCCACTTCCTTTAATTGGAATCAGCTGGCGGACTGGTTTTAGACTAACCCCTGATCTTCTAATTCAGGTATTTTTTTCCCCACTTGTGTAATTTTGTTTTTTTGATTATGAAGCTAGCTATTTATTATTTATTTATTTAGACTTATTTTATTTATTAAACTTAATTGAAGAGAACTGCAGTCATTTGACTTTGGTGGCAGTGATGGAGAAGAAGGTATTGGGTCTGTAAAGTCTGGAGAATGAATACATGACTTTTAGGGGATTGAGAATTTGTATCCTGGTAGTCCTCATCCAGTGACTACAGTTGGGATGGGTCACTGAGTGAACTGCTGACTGTGCTTAGGGGCTTACTTGAGATTTCCTTTCTTTACGGTCCCGCCAAGGTCATAAATACAAAGATCAGTCAGTCATAAAGTCATTGGTGTCTTACCTGGGAATTGTTGTTAAACAAGGCAGTCTCTATACGAGGTCTACCTTTGTATGTGGTCAGGGAAGCTCCTGCTGATTTTACAAACTGTTTCTCTGTCTGTGGGAAGAAATCTTGCTATCCCTACAAGTATACGTTCAAAAGGATTTTATTTATTTTATTTGTTTGTCAAACATGTACAAGATAACAAGTACAGGTATGAACATAAACAGGAACAAAGGAAGTCAATACAGATAAACGGGGACAGTAAGACAGGGACGGTAGGCGCCAGAAGTGGTATTCAGCAGGTTCTGACTAGTTCTGGAGAATCGGTAGCAGCAATTTTGAGTAGTTCGGAGAATCAGCACATACCACCTCTGACTGGAGATTTTACAGTATCCTTCCCCTGCCATGCCCACCAAGCCACGCCCACAGAACCAGTAATAGAAAAATTTGAATCCCACCACTGGTAAGGCACGCTGGTGCGCTTATGCACGCCCCCTTTAAGGACCTCTTAGGAATGGGGTGAGGTCCATGGTAGACAGTTTGAGGCTGAAGCTGTGAGGGGTGGAGGCTGTAACCATGGAGTCAGGTATGGTGTTCCAGGCGTTGACCACTCTGTGGCTGAAGTCGTATTGTCTGCAATTGAGTTTGAAGCGGTTTACCTTGAGTTCCTATCAGTTGTTTGCTCATGTATTGTTGTGGTTGTTGACAGGCAAGAGGCGTTGTAGCAGACAAAGGATGCAAGTACAGAAAACAATAGATGGAGAAAACCAGGGAATAAAGGAAAGGCGAGAGGGCAAAAACAGCAGGAATCTTGGCTGAAAAGCAAAAACAGGAGGAGCAACAGACTGAGAATGGTGGTTATGAGTCCAAAGTGAACAGCGGCTCTTTGGAATGATGATCATGGTTTGTTGCTTATGACGATGCTAATTTTTACCTCTGAAATTGCTGTGAAAGAAGGAACCGAATACAGGTACAACTACTCCCTCAACTTACGACCACAATTTCTATTGAGACATTTGTTCAGGGAGTTTTGCCCTATTTTGCAACCTTCCTTGCCACCGTTGTTAAGCGAATCACCGCAGTTGTGAAGTTAGTGACAGGGTGGTAAAGCGAATCTGAGTTCTCCATTGACTTTGCTTGTCAGGAGGTTGCAAAAGGGGATCACTGCAACCGTCATGAATACAAGTCAGTTTCCAAGCGTCTTGATTTTGATCACATGACCATGGGGATGCTGCCAACAGTCACAAGTTGTGAAAAACGGTCAAAAGTCATTTTTTAAGGCCATCGTAACTTCAAACAGTCACTAAATGAACTGTTGTAAGTCGAGGACCTGTCGTCCTCGACTTAACAACCATTCATTTAGTGACCAAAGCTACAGTGGCACTGAAAAAAATGACTTATGACCGTTTTTATATTTACAACCATTGCAGCATCCCCCGGGTAACGTGTGCAAAACTTGGCAACCGCCCTGTATTTACGACGGTCGCAATGTTCTGGGGTTGTGTGATCACCCTTTGTGACCTTCTGATGAATAAAATCAATGAGGAAGCCAGATTCACTTGAGAACCTTCTTACTGACTGAACAACTGCAATGACTCGCTTAACAACGGTGGTTAGAAAAGTCATAAAATGGGGCAAAACTCACTTGGCAAACCGTCTTTGTGGAAATTTTGGGCTCAATTTTGGTTGTAAGTTGAGGACTACCTGCATTCTTCTTCACCTGAATTATATTGCTTCTTCTTCTTTCCCCCCCCTTAATGGCAGCTTGCGAAACGTTATGGAAATATTTACACATTACTGGCATGGAATTTACCTGTAATAGTACTGTCAGGATACAAAGTTGTGAAACATGGATTGATCAACCATTCTGATGACTTCTCTGAACGAGTAGAGACCCCCTTTTTAAGGGCTCTGTCCAGAGGAAAAGGTAAGGTGTAAACTGTGCTTTTCCTTTTTTAAAATTCAATTTATTTATTTACATACATTTATATACATTTATTTATATACAGTATAAAAGGTAAAGGTTCCCCTCGCGCATACATGCTAGTTGTTTCCGGTTCTAAGGGGCGATGCTCATCTCCGTTTCAAAGCCGAAGAGCCAGCACTGTCCGAAGACGTCTCCGTGGTCATGTGGCCAGCATGACTAAATGCCCAAAGGCACACGGAATGCTGTTCCCTTCTCACCAAAGTGGTCCCTATTTTTCTACTTGCATTTTTACATGCTTTCGATCTGCTTAGGTTGGCAGCAGCTGGGACAAGCAACGGGAGCTCACTCTGTTACTCAGCACTAGGGATTCGAGCCGCCGAACTGCCAACCTTTCTGATCAACAAGCTCAGCATCTTTAGCCAGTGAGCCACCGCGTCCCATATATACAGTATACATGTACGTTAAAACAGCCTCTATTATGGCCTTGTGGAGGCTAAAACATACAGTTGTGCTTATAAGTTTGCATACCCTGGCAGAATTTATGATTTCTTGGCCATTTTTCAGAAAATATGAATGATAACAGAAAAACTTTTATTTCACTCATGGTTAGTGGTTGGCTGAAGTCATTTATTATCAGTCAACTGTGTTTACTCTTTTTAACTTATAATGACAACAGAAACTACCCAAATGACCCTGATCAAAAGTTTACATACCTCAGTTCTTAATACAGTGTATTGCCCCCTTTAACATCAATGACAGCTTGAAGTCTTTTGTGGTATGTGTGGATGAGGCTTTTTATCTTCTCAGATGGTAAAGCTGCCCATTCTTCCTGGCAAAAAGCCTCCAGTTCCTGTAAATTTTTGGGCTGTCTTGCATGAAGTGCACGTTTGAGATCGATCTCCCCAGAGTGGCTCAATGATATTGAGGTCAGGAGACTGAGATGGCCACTCCAGAACCTTCACTTTATTTTGCTGTAGCCAATGACAGGTCGACTTGGCCTTGTGTTTGGGATCATTGTCATGTTGGAATGTCCAAGTACGTCCCTTGCATAGCTTCTGGGCTGATGAATGCAAATTTTCCTCCAATATCTTTTGAAAACATATTGCATTCACCTTGCCATCAATTCTGACCAAATTTCCTGTGCCTTTGTAGCTCGCACATCCCCAAAACATCAGTGAACCACCTCCGTGTTTCACAGTAGGAATGGTGTACTTTTCATCATAGGCCTTGTTGACTCCTCTCCAAAAGTAGCAATTATGGTTGTGGCCAAAAAGCTCAATTTTGGTCTCAGCAGTCCAAATGACTTTGTGCCAGAAGGTTTGACGCTTGTCTCTGTGCTGTTTGGCATATTGTTAGCGGGATGCTTTGTGGCATTTGCGTAGTAATGGCGTTCTTTTGGTGACTCAACCATGCAACCCATCTTTCTTCCAGTGCTTCCTTATTGTGCATCTTGAAACAGTCACACCACATGTTTTCAGAGAGTCCTGTATTTCACCTGAAGTTATTTGTAATTTTCCTGGCAGTTGTGGCTGAAATTTTAGTTGGTCTAACTGACCGTGGTTTGGTTTCAATGGAACCCTTCATTTTCCACTTCTTGATTAGTGTTTGAACACTGCTGACTGACATTCTCAATTCCTTGGATATCTTTTTATATCCCTTTCCTGTTTTATACAGTTCAACTACCTTTTCCCACAGATCCTTTGACAATTCTTTTGCTTTCCCCATGACTCAGAAGCCAGAAATGTCAGTGCAGCACTGGATGAAAAATGCAATGGTCTGTCAGGAGTCCATGAACTCATTGACCTTTCATACACACACACTAATTACAAGCAAACAGATCACAGGTGAGGATGGTTACCTTTAACAGCCATTCAAACCCCTTTGTGCCAACCTGTGTGCATGTTATCAGGCCAAAATCACCAGGGTATATAAACTTTTGATCAGGGTCATTTAGGTAGTTTCTGTTGTCATTATGGGTTAAAAAGAGTAAACACTGTTGATTGACAATAAATGGCTTCAGTCAACCACTAATCACGAGTGACATAAAAGTTTTTGTGTTATCATTCATATTCTCTGAAAAATGCCCAAGAAATCATAAATTCTGCCAGGGTATGTAAACTTATGAGCACAACTGTACGATGAATGGTTACAGGAACTAGGCTTGGCTAGTCTAGTGAAGAGAAGGACCAGGGAAGACATGATAGTAGTGTTCCAATATTTGAGGGGCTGCCACAGAGAGGAAGGGGTCAACTTATTTTCCAAAGCACCTGAAGGCCAGACAAGGAATAATGGATGGAAACTAAACAAGGAGAGGTTCAACCTGGAAATAAGGAGAAACTTTCTGACAGTGAGAATAATCAACCGATGAAACAGAAGTTGCCTTTGGAAGTTGTGGGAGCTTCATCCCTGGAGGATTTCAAGAAGAGACTGGACTGCCATCTGTCAGAAATGGTGTAGGATCTCCTGCTTGGGCGGGGGGTTGGACTAGATGAACTACAAGGTCCCTTCCAACTCTGTTAATCTGTAATATGCCATTTAGGTTCAAAGTGACTTTCAAAACGACAACTTTAGAACATATGCTATAATATTCCAACTTCATCCCCAGCAGTGCCTTGAGAAACAGCCCCAATGTTAAAATATTTCAAATGTTTATATGTGTTTATGTTAAATCTCCAAAGTTATAAATGAGGCAGATAAGTTTCCAGGAAGTCCTGAAAGCTTTGTGGTCGTGAAAAAGCAAGAAGTGATCCTTTTACATGTAAGGAGGTGGATGTCCAAAAACAGATGACCGAATCTGAACCAATCATGTCAGATGCCACACTGTCCATCTTGAAGTTGCTAAAAAAATATGTAGGCATAAAATATGCCATCTTGTTTCTGATGCATTCTGATGAAGGCTACATCAACAGCTATGGATGATTTAAGTCTATCTCATGGGCTAGGGAATTGCTGAAGGCCGAGTCACTGGAATGCAGCAAAAAAAAAAAGAAAGAAAAAAGGTTTGGCTGTAGGTGGATGTAATAAACTATCTGGAACTTCAGGTGCATCATTGCAACCATCATTTTGAGGTTTTTTTAAATCTTGTTTTGTGGACATGCCTACTGGTTAGCTGTAAATGTGGGCATGATCTCATCCATGGGTTTCTGATTGTTGGTTTTTCTGGGAAGCATCTGAGCAAAATATCCGCAGAGATTCTCAGTCATCCAGATCATGGTTGTCCAAAGGTGCTTTTTCAAAGGGCAACTAGACTTTGTTTTTCCTTGAAGACATTTTGCTTCTCATCCAAGAAGCTTCTTCAGTTCTGATTGAATAGTGGAGGATGGAAGGATTTATATACCTTGCCGTTATCTGGTCATTGAGCAGAATTGAAGAAAGGTTCTTGGATGAGAAGTGAAACATTTTCAAGGAGAAACAACGTCCAGTTGCATTTTGACAAAGTACCTTTTTGGGAGGATCTGGGGAATATGGATTTTCTATTTTAAAATGGACATGTGTGAATATCAACAGCATGGCTGGTTTGGGAATTCTGAGAGTTGACCTCCACCCACGTTAAAATTTCCAATTTTGAAAAACACAGATTTATATGGGTGCCCATCTTATCCAAGTGACTTTGGGCAACTAAGGAAATGCTAAAAATTATACAAAGAACTGGGAATTGGCAAGGATTCCAAAGCTGATCTAATTGCAAGTCCCATTTTAAACAATATTTGGCATGCAAACCAACTCCAAACTATGACTTCAAAGAGAATGTATGACTTAAATATTAGCCTTGATTTATGACATGGGGCCTGCCTCAGGCAACCAAGCTGAAGTGAACAAATCCAGTTTTAGCATGTTGCATTAAAGAATATTTCCTTAAATGTTGTGTCTAATTCTGCATCATTCTTGCATGTTCTTTCTCCCCACCAAAATATACCAGTGTGACTTGCTGAGCGTGACCTCTTCTAAACTAATGAGTCCAATAAAGGAGAATATTTATAGCTCAAGGTTGAAATCAGGGGTCCTTGGTGCTTTCTGAGCTTGGCTGTACAACCCCTTGTATTTAAACAGTGGCAAACCCCACTTCTTACTAGCACCGATGATGTTACGTAGTTTGAGTAATCAAACGTCTGCAAGAAAATAACCAAGGTCAGAGTGCACCAAGGAACCCTCGAGCAGATGATTTCATAACTTCGATGCATCTCTCTTGTGAGTAACAATTTTCCCCTTATTTCTGTTTGATTCAGGCATTATTCTTTCCAACGGCCACACTTGGAAGCAGCAGAGACGATTTGGCCTACTTACTATGAGGAAACTTGGAGTGGGGAGGACAGGCATAGAGAGTCAAATACAAAACGAGGCTGGCCAACTAGTGGAGATCTTCGCTGATTCAAATGGTCGGTGAGACCAGCCAAGGCTGTCAGCTCAAGAGCTACTGTGTTTCCCCCCAAAATAAGACCCTATCTTATATTTTTTTACCACCAAAAAAAAGTCACCAGGTCTTATTTTGGGGGGATGTCATCCACTGACTAACCTCAGTTGCGTGCGTCACCCCCAGCCTCCTTTTCGCTGTCAGGGGCCTTCAGGAACTTCTTCTGCAGCTGGCAAGGCTTTCCTGAAGGCCTCTGCAGCAGATAATGGAGCTCTGGATCGATCCAGAGCTTTGTTATCACCTACAAAGACTTCAGGAAAGCCTTGCCAGCCTTGCCGCCTGCAGAAAAAATGGGCCGGCAAGGCAGGTGTCAGGGTGTGCGAGGCCTGGCTTCAACTGTCCAAAGGAAAGTAGTAGGGCAGCTCCACCCTCCATCCCCGCCCTACCTTAATTTTTACCCGTGCACTCAAATGGGTGGGATCTTAATTAGGGCTTATGTGGGGGGGGGGGTTAGGGCTTATATTGGGCGCACATGTAAAAATCAAGCTAGGACTTACTTTTAGGACAGGTTGTATTTTCGGGGAAAACAGGGTAGTTTGCCTAAATCTTTACAAGAAATCCTTGACTTATGATGAGAATTGAGCCTGCAATTATGGTAATAAAATGTGATAGTCATTAAACAGGTCACCATGTGACTGTAATTGATTTTCCCTTTTTTTGTGTTGGTCATTAAGCAAATGCATAGGTTGTATTGTGTAAAGCCACAATCATTAAGCAAACCCGTTGTTTTCTATGGGATGTTTTTTGTCAGAAAACAGAAAAATGCAGATAGTCCTTGACTTATACAGGTAGTCCTTGAGTTAGGACTTCGGTTGAACCCCAAATTTATGTTAAGTGAGAAATTGGTTAAGTGAGTTTTTAAAGTGAAAAATGGTCATAAGTCACATTTTTCCACGCTGTTGTAATTTTGAATGGTCAATAAACGAAGTGTTGTAAGTTGAGGATTACCTGTAACTTATTTTTTTAAAAAAACAATTTTATTTAGATTTTCACAAAACAAAGAAAAATAAAACATCTTTTTTAGTGAACAGCTTGGTTTCAGGTTTTCATATCTGTATACAGATATAATCTCAATTACATATTCATCTTTCATATTCAATTTCATATCTTATCACTACTTTAAATATTCTTTATTAATTTTTCCCCTCAAATAATTCCCTCAGGCTTATTTTATAGCTCTCATTCATTTCTAAGTCTATTACATATCCTTTTCAAAGTTTTCATATTTTCATAATAATTGTACTTAGATTTTAATCTGTCCTGTGTACACTTTCAGTCCGTATCCACATTTCAAACATTACAAAACAAGGTTTCTCCTATAGTTGCCAATTAGAGCGTGTCACCTTTATATCTTATAGCTAATTCCCTTTTACATCCCATTAAATATTCTACTTCTAAATTATCCCATTAAACAATTATAACATTCATCACCTAATAGCTATATTATAACATAAATCCCTTTTGAGTCAGATTCCGCATGGTACTTCCCCTTTAAATTACCTCTAAATAGTTTTAAATTTAAAAGAAATAAAACAGAAAAGGAAGAAAATAATTAAGCAATTCAAATTCATCCAGAAAACTGGTATTAATTTCCTTACCATCCTTCTCATAATTCATTTCAATCATATTTTATAAATCCTTAACATACATCGATATAATTCAATTATGTTTTACATAGTTTTGTTTTTACTTAATCTAACTGTTATCAGACATTCCATTGGGTAACAATCCTCGTTTCATTTTCCATTTTAATTGCATATATTTTCCTGTTTTCTACAAAATTTATTATTTCTAATATATTTATACAATCCCTTATCACCATACAGAATCTGCTATTTTAGCTGTTTTTCAACCACCTGTAACTTATGACTATTGTGCAGCATTCCTACGGTAACAAAATCAGATTTCGGGCACTTGGCAACTGGCATGTATTTATATTCACTGCACAGTCCTAAGATCACATGATCATCATTTCCCAATCAGCTTCCAATTAGCCAAATCAATGGGAGAAGCCAGATTTGCTTAATGACTGCACAATTCTCTTAACCACTGCAGTGATTCGTTCAACAACTGCTTAAAAACAAGTAATAAATGAGATGCAATTCACTTAACAACTTAGCAAAGGAAATTGTCATAAATTGAGGACTACCTGTAAATGCTGGTTCTTGCAGTCATGTGACTGCTGTATATACAGGCTGGTTGCTGAGTACTGAATATGCAAACATGCGACTATGGGTATGTGTACGCAGCCATCAGAACATCAAATGCAGGTCATAAATAGCTTTTAAGAATTGAAAAAAATGTAATTTTAACCAGTTGCTAAGTAACTGGTTGTAAGTCAAGGATTTATTCCATTTCGGCAGACAATGGGATGCAATACTTCAATCCTCACATTTTATATTCATTTGACAATAAATTTCTTAATTTTTCAGGTCAGCCCTTCGATCCTTTGTTGCCAATCACCAACGCTTTCTTCAATTTGATCGCCATCTTGGTGTTTGGGTACCGATTCTCTCTTGAAGACGAAAACTTTCAGAAACTAACCAAAGGCCTGATTTTTGGTTCAAGATTTGTGGGCAGCTTCTTTCATGTGGTGAGTTAAGCTATTGTTTTCTGACCAGGTGATTCACATTGGCCTAAAAACCTACACAGCTAACCCTCGACGTACGATCACCATTGGGCCCAAAATTCCTGTTGATAAGCAAAACGGTCATTAAGTGAGTCTTGCCCCATTGTATGACCTTTCTGGCCACAGTTGTTAAGTGAGTCACCACAAGTTTTTAAGTGAGGCAGCTTCCCCCGCCTCGTTGATTTTGTCCGTCAGAAGGTTGCAAGAGTTCCCAGAACACTACAACCATATTAAGTCAATCATCCAAATTTTGATCGCATGACCATTGAGATGCTGCAACGATTTGAAAGTTTGAAAAATGGTCACAAGTCTCTTTTTCTCAGTGCTGTTGTAACTTTGAATAGTCATTAAACAAATGGTTGTAAGTCAAGGACCACCCGTATTGTAGTCTGGTCTTTTAGGAGCACGGGTCTTTCAAACCAAAGAGACCAAGTGTAAATAAATGTATGGAGTAAATCCGTGGTGGTATTCTACCGGTTCGGCCTGGTTCTAGCGACCCGGTAGCAGCGATGAACAGTGGAGACCGAATCGGTTCTCTCCACCGCTCTGCTGTTGGGCCCACCCACCTGCCCAGCCTCCCATACTCACCTTTATCTGCTGAATTTGAAGCACAGCTGCTTTGCGCAGCACAGAATAGTGCCTCACGGGAGCTGCTGAAGCGACCGAGATCGTGCAGGCTTGCAGGAGGCAATTTAGAATGCCTTTGCGCCTGCACAAAGTCCACATTTGGTGTGCGCATGCACGCAAAGTGTGTGCAGCGCGCAAAGCGCACCCACCAAGACATGCCCACCGAACCGGTGGCAAAAATATTTGAATCCCACCACTGGAGTAAATGATGCAGTGTGTGTGTGTGTGTGTGTGTGTGTGTGTGTGTGTGTGTATCGGGGAGAGCAGAGGGAAAGGAGAGCAACCGCAGTACAGGTAGTCCTCAACTTACGGACCGCAATTGAGCCCAAAATTTACATTGCTAAATGAGAATTTTGTTAAGTGAGTTTTGCCCCATTTTACGGCTTTTCTCGCCACGACTGTTCAGTGAATCCCTGCTGTCAACTCATAAAATATTTCTATGGTCTTTTTAGAGTTGCCAACAGAAAGGGTGGGGGGGAAAGGGGGTTTGAAAGAGTACGGCACCTTGGAAATCGAAAGTGCATTCCATAAATAGTTTTTCAAAGATAGTAACTAGGTGACTGAAGTTTCTGCCATGCAAATATCTAACTGGAGAACATGATTGCTGACTCTTGGCTATGGATGTGTCTCATTGGACAATATGAATTAGATACACCCAGGGGGTGGGGGAAAACCAGGGTCAAGGGTGACAATGAATTATGTGTCTCAGAGTCAGCTACACCCAGGCAGTGCCAGATATGTTAACTCCCAATTAATCCTTTTGAGGTTTTGAAAGTTTGGCTCGAGACTCATGATTTAAATGGGGGTAAATGCCGAAATCCTGACACCTGCAGTCATTAAGTGAATCTGGCTTCCCCGTTGCTTGTCAGAAGGCTGCAAAAGGGGATCACGTGACCCCGGATCACAGCAATGGTCATAAATACAAACCAGTTGACAAGTATCTGAATTTTGATCACATGATTGTAGGGATGTTGCAAGGGTCAACACAGTGAAAAACGGTCATGGGTCACATTTTTCAGTGCCGTTGTAATTTTGAACGGCCACTAAACAAACTGTTATAAGTTGAGGAGCACCTTTAACTTATGACTGTTTGCAGCAGTTGTGAATCACTGCAGTTGTGAAATTAGTAAACCCGGTTGTTAAGTGACTCTGGTTTGCCCGTTGGCTTGTCTTGTCAGAAAGAGTTGTGGTTAGCCAGCAGCAGATGTGGACGGCTGAGGAGAGTGAGGACTCAGATGAGAGGCCAAGATCATTAGGGAGTGGACTGCTGCCTTCAGAGATTATAGGGGCTGGCAGCAGTGATGATGAGGTTTTCGAGGAGCCTGTGCCAAGTGCGTGTGTGCGCAGGATTGCTCGTAGGAAAGAGCAGCTACAACAGCACGGGCGACTCAAGAGTAAGGCTACACCTTCAAGAAGATAAAAGCCAGCTGTGAAACAAGCATACTTTGCAGAAGGCAAAGACGTTTTGAAACTCCAGACTTGTGGACATTCCAGTATCCTGAGTTTTTATTTGAAGATTCTTGTATTGCAAATTATTTCTTGTCTGTTATTTTTTGGCAAGTCTTGCACAGTTTGGCAAGTCTTGTGCTTATCACAGCTAATTATTTTGTAAAAGCATTACAAGGTTTCTGTTCCTATTGGATTGTGTTTGATTTGTTGGGGTCAGAACAGAAAATCGCAAAAGATGTTCACATGACCCCGGGGCACTGCAACTGTCATAAATGTGAGTCAAGTTGTCAAGCATTCAAATGTAAATCACATGACTAGGAGGATGCTGCAACGGTCATCATAAGCGTGAAAAATGGTCCCAAATCACTTATTCCGTTGCCGTTGAAACTTCGAACGGTCAGTAAGCAAACTGTTGTAAGTTGGGGACTACCTCAAAAACAAGTAGTTTTTGCCGAATGACCGTTCACTCAACTATGGTTCAAAGTTAACGACAATTCTGAATGAGGGGGACTTAGGACTGGTCCTCCAAGGATCAGGTGATCGCCGTTCGGGCACTTGGTCATCAGCTCACAATAATAACAGTTGCAGCATCCTGCGATGACCCGGGGCATGGCACAGAGATAACACAGGCAGCTGGCAGTTCAAACTGCCTTTTTATTGCTCAAAATTTCCCCAAACGCTCCCACATTTCTGGCAAGTCTCAGAGCAAAGGGTTGACACACACACCCGCGCACACCTCAAGCAGCCTCTGGCTGCAAATAGTCCAGTCCAACGCTGTGAACACCACAAGTGCACAGCAATAAATCCAGCAGGGCAAATCAGGGAGGTCAGGAAGCAAAGGATCAAGGCAGTTAGTCTCAAAAGCCAGAAAGAATGCAAGGGCTCTGGGAAAGTTCAAACGTCGGCACTCCATACTCCAGGAATTCAGCCTTTGTTCCCCACAAATGCCCCTCCGCACAGCGTCTCCTTAAGCCTCATTCCCCAGTGTGCCAGTGTATAATCTCTGAAGGCCGGGGCACCCTCCTCCCGAATAGTCAAGTCAACCTGTGCTGTTCTCGCCTTCTCTCTTCTCTCCATGCTCGAGGATCAGGAGGGGGTGGTCCTTGCTCATCGCCTGAGCTCTGTCTCTCAAGTTCACTGCTTGGTCATCCTGCCTCTGTTCCTCCCTGCCAACAAGCCATCCTAATCCTGAAACTTCCCCATTTTCTTCCGAAGCCCCACTCCCTCAACCTCTGTTGGCTCCAGTTCCCTCAATCTCTGTCGGCTCCAGTTCCAGCTCATCTTCCCCCGCAGATTCAGGCTCTGGCGAGGGCATGACACACCCCATGGTCCAGAGGTGGTATTCGGCAGGTTCTGACCAGTTCTGGAGAACCAGTAGTGGAAATTTTGAGTAGTTCAGAGAACCGGCAAATACCACCTCTGACTGGAGATTTTATAGTATCCTTCCCCTGCCATGCCCACCAAGCCACGCCCACAGAACCGATAGTAAACATTTTTTGAATCCCACCACTGCCATGGTCACATAATCACTACTTCCAACTTTCACTGGTGGCTTCCACCAAGCAAAGCCAATGGGGAAAACTGGCAAGAGTTCTCACTTAATGACTCCCCGCCCCCAGTGAATTGTTAAACAAACGTGCAGGTCATTAAATAGATCATTGGGGTGCCTCAGATGTAGGGAGGTCTAGTGAAGGGTCAGATGATGGGAATGTATATACAGATGAGGCCCTGGGGGATCAGAGGAAGGGTCCTATGTGGAGATAGGACCCAAGTAGGGATGGAATGGACAGGAGAGTGAGGAATATGAATTCTGATAAAAACATCTTTTTGCCTTAAAACAGACAATTAAGCAGCTTTGCTCCTTCCTGTCTTCTCTCTGCAGAAGGAGCGGGGATCGCGGGCGAATGGGGGGTGCTGTCTCAGACAAAGACTTAAAACTGCTTTTACTTTTCTCTGCGGAAGGAGGAGGGTCGCGGGTAGTGGGGGGTGCTGCCTTGAGCTGCTTTGCAAGATGAAGGGGGTTGGGGCTGCATATTTGTAGTGAGGCAGAAGTTAGCACCTCACCAGTGGTGGGATTCAAATTTTTTTACTACCAGTGCTGCGGGTGTGGCTTAATGGGTGAGGCATGGCTTGGTGGGTGTGTGGCTTAGTGGGCATGGCAGGGGAAGGATACTGTAAAATCTCCATTGCCACCCCACTCCTGGGGAAAGGTCACCACCGGTTCTCCGAATACTCAAAATTTCCGCTACTGGTTCTCTAGAACTGGCCAGAACCTGCTGAATACCACCTCTGCACCTCACCTGTTAGAAAACCACTAGGATATTAGGAACAAGAATAGCTCGCTTATAAGGAAAAAAACAACAACCCCAAAACCACAAAGCTGGCACATGAAACTAGGACACTTTGCAAGATACCTGTGACCTGGGGTGAAAAATAGGTGACACGACATTTAGCTATTTAGCATAACAAGCATAAAGGTTTAAGGGGGCTACAATCCAAATAACCAATCAATATTATCTGTTGTGCATGCATTATTAGGGAAAGGGCAAAAGGGTTGGAGGCGACCACCCCTTGACTATAAAACTTGCTGTAAGATTGCAAAATGGGCCCTTCGTTAGCTTTCGAATCAGAGTTCTTATATCTTGGTACCAAAATATAAGTATAATTTTGTACCACCCCTTGTGTTTGGTGACTTATCGGCTACGACACCAAGCAAGAGCCCAGTTTTGGAGACAACACTAGCACTGGCCCAGGCCCGCCGGCTTTGACTCCTCCCAAGGCCTCACCCACTCCAGTAGTGCGTTTCAAAAAAGTTTACCACCGGTTCGGTGGGCGTGGCTTGGCGGGTGCCCTTGGCGCAGGTGCTCACACTTTGCTCATGTGCGCATGCCAAATGTGCACTTTGCGCAGGCACAGAGGCTTTCTGACTCACCTCCTGTAATCCTGCACTCTCCCTGTCGCTTCAGCAGCTGACGCGCAGCAATCTGTTGTGCCGCGCAAAGCAGCTGCGCTTCAAAAGCAGGACATAAAAGTCAGTAGGGGAGCCCGGGCCGGCGGGTGCGCCCAACAGCAGAGCGTCTTAGAGAACTGATTCGGTCTCTGCTGCTCTTCGGCGATACCGGCATACTAGAACCGGACCGAACCGGTAGAATACCACCACTGCCCCACTCCCCTGAGATGCTGCATGCTCCACTCTCTGTCCCTTGAGTCCCCAGAAACATTTTCCCCAGTGGTGGGATTCAATTTTTTTTTTACTACTGGTTCTGTGAGTGTGGTGTAGCTTGGTGGGCATGGCTTGGTAGGTGTGGCAGGGGAAGGTCACTGCAAGAACCCATTCCCTCCCCACCCCACTATCCTGCTTTCCAGCTCTGTTCTCCTGGGCAGGGCAACCAAAGGAGACCCAGCCAATCAGTGGGGACTCAATGGGAGGCAGAGAATAGATGGGGGCGGGGCCAGTCAGAGGCGGTATTTGCCGGTTCTCTGAACTACTTAAAATTTCCGCTACTGATTCTCCAGAACTGGTCAGAACCTGCTGAATACCACCTCTGACATGGCCCCTGTTGTAATGGTTGCATTGCAAGTGTGATTCCACCCCCCCCAGGGATTACCTGATTCCCCTCCCCCCAACCAGGTCAAACACCCTCCTCCTTACATCATTTGAAGAGCTCTAAGGCCTTCCAGAGGGCTGATGAACCGACTACTTCATCACACGGCTACATGGCGCAATTCTGGAAGCAGCCGCCATTTTGTCCCATCTTCAGAATGGACCTGTTTGGGTTGCTCAGCACTGGGACAAACTGCCCCACTTAACGAGATCTGCACATAGCAATAGCATTTAGATTTATATACCGCTTCACAGGGCTTTTCAGCCCTCTCTAAGCGGTTTATAAGCTTAGAAGCTTGCTGCGGTGCTGTGCCAGACTTGTTCAGGCAGCAAAACAAGGCAGCTTCTCTGTTGGCCACCATTTTGTCCCTGGGCACAAGCTTGCATGCCACGAGGCAGAAGCAATGGGCCAATCCATGTCAGCAAAAAGCAGAAAATAGGTTGCGTTATTATATCAGCGATGATGATTTTGCTCTCTTTCAGCTGTACGAAGTACTTCCCTGGCTGATGCGTCACATTCCTGGGCCGCATCAAAAGACACTGTCCCACATTAAGTTTATCTATGATCTGGCAAAGGAGGAGATAGAGAAGCACAAGGAAAACCAGTCCTTGCACGAACCCCGGGATTTTATTGATTACTATCTTCTTCAGTTGAAAAGAGTGAGTAATATCTCGCATTGGAATGCCTCCTTTCCTCATTTTGGAACACAAGCAACAGCCCAACCGTTTGAACCATCTACTGTAAGAGCATCATTCAGATTATTCTCTCTGCCCCTCCTCGCTCCAACTGCCTTCCTAGCACAGATAGTCCTTGACTTACGACCACAACCGATCCTAATACTTCTGTGAAGTGAAGCATTTCTTAGGTGGATTTTGCCCCCTTTTCCAACTTTTCATTCCATGGTTTTTAAGTGAATTTCTGCCATTGTTAAATTAGTAACCCGGTTGTTAAATGGATCTGGCTTCCCCATTGGCTTTGCTTGTCAGAAGGTGGCAAAAGCAGGTCACATGACCCCAGGACACTTTAACTGTCATAAATATGAGCCACCTGCTAAGGGTTCCAATTTGGATCATGTGGCCCAGTGGTAGGATTCAATTTTTTTTAATATGGGTTCTGTGGGCATGGCTTGGTGGGCGTGGTGTGGCTTGGTGGATGTGACGGGGGAAGGATACTGCAAAATCCCCATTCCCTCCCCATCCCGCTAACCTGCTTTCCAGCTCCGTTCTCCTGTGCAGGGCAACCAAAGAAGATCCAACCGATCAGCTGCGACTCAATGGGGGGCAGAGAATAGATGGGAGCGGGGCCAGTCAGAGGTGGGATTTGCTGGTTCTCCAAACTACTCAAAATTTCTGCTATCAGTTCTCCAGAACTAGTCAGAACCTGCTGAATACCACCACTGACATGGCCCCTGTTGTAATGGTTGCAAGTGTGAAAACAGTCATACTTTCCCTTTTTTCCAGTGCTGCTGTAACTTTGAATGGCCACTAAATAAACTGTTGTAAGTTGAGGACTACCTGTACTGAAGGAGACTGTTTCCTTTGCTCTACAAGGCAGCCTTCTTAGGTAAACATCAGAGCTGTGTAACCCATACATTCATAGGCAGAACAGGGCTTCAGAGCATGCAGTCTCTGTCTGCAGTCTTAGTGGACAGCCAGCTGAATAGGAGCCAGCAGTGTGCAGCAGCAACCAGAAAAGCTAATGCAATCCGACGTTGCATTAACAGAGGGATACAATTGAGATCAAGGGAGGTACTAATACCACTCTAGTATCACCTTAGTAAGACCACACCTAGAGTACTGCATCCAGTTTTGGTCACCACATTATAAAAAAGATGTTGAGGCTCTAGAAAGAGTGCAGAGAAGAGCAACCAGGAGGATTAGGGGACTGGAGACTAAGGCATATGAAGAACGGTTACAGGAGCTGGGCATGGCTAGTCTAGTGAAGAGAAGGACTGGGGGAGACATGATAGCCGTCTTCCAATATTTGAGGGGCTGCCCCAGAGAGGAGGGGGTCAAGCTATTTTCCAAGGCACCTGAGGGCCAGACAAGGAACAATGGATGGAAACTGAACAAGGAGAGATTCAACCTGGAAATAAGGAGAAACTTTTTGGCAATGAGAACAATCAACCAGTAGAACAGAAGTTGCCTTTGGAACTTGTGGGAGTTTCATCACTGGAAGCTTTCAAGGGGAGACTGGATTGCTGATCTGTCAGAAATGGTCTCCTGCTTGGGCAGGCAGTTGGACGAGATCAGCGGTCACCAACCGGTGGACCATGAGAAAATTTTGGTGGGCCGCAGAGAAATCTTACCCCCAGAGCACCCCCACAAAGCAATTAATCCAGGCTGCGCAGAAGCACAAGGCTGCTCAGCCCACATGGCCCACGGGAACCCTCCCCGCCCACTCATTCCTTACCCGGCAAACTTGTCTGCTAAGTTACTATTTTTCATTTTTCCGACCCTCATCTGTTCTGCTGTGCCGGGAGATTTAGATTAGCTAGGAGGAAATGGTTGGATTTCTTGCTTTCTAGCTAAGCACAGCAAAACCTCCCTTAGGACTGAAGGTTTGCTTGCAAGCAAATTCAGTGCAGACTCACCACAAGCAAATTTGAGAGAATGAGCTAGCCGATGACAGATAGATAGATAACTGAATGATTCTGTGAGCAATTCAATCTGCCTGCCTGCTTTGCCTGATTTTGGGTAAAAGTTGCTCTT